AATACAATAAGCCAAACTTTACTTGCTTTTTCTGGTTGCATCATCCTGAGTTTACTTCTGTTCTTACTGTACTACATTCCTCAGAACTTCTTTCAAATAATGTCTTTGTGTAGTGAATTTCCTGGAATCTTCTATGCTGAGAATTTATTTTTTATTCAATTTAAATAATAATTTATTAGCAGTATATAAATTATAGGTTCTCAGCCCTTTTCCTTTAACACTTTACATTGGAAGTTCATACTCCATAGTTTATACTTCAGCATTAGTGTTGAGAAGTTTGATGTTGATGTTATTCTTCCTGTATGGAAGGGTACTTTTTTTTGTTTCTGGAAGCTTTTAGCCTTTGTTTTTGATCTGTAACAGTATTAATTATCCTTATATTATGCTTTGCTGTGGATTTTCTCTTAACTATCCTGTACACTGAACTCTGTACCCTTTCAGTGTAAGATTTGAATAATTCTGTATTAGGTAATTTTTTGTCATTATTCAAATATTTTTTCTCTCCTATTTTGTCTTTGCTTTCATTCTAGGGCTTCTATTATAAAGATGTTAATACTTCTGTTCCTAATCTTATCTCTTATTTGTTCTGTCTTTTCATCCTTTCCTGTGCCTTCTGGGAGGGTTCCACCCAGTGTGTGCTCATCAGTTTGTTCTGTCTGTAGCTATTGTGCTTTTAACTCATCCTCAAAGTTCTTTATTTCAAATGACTGTATTTTAAAAAATATATTTTTTAATATTTAATTTATTTTTGAAAGAGAGCATGAGCAGGGGATGGGCAGAGAGAGAGGGAGACCAAGGATCCGAAGTGGGCTCCATGCTAACAGCAGAGAGCTTGACCTCGGGTTTGAACTCATGAACTGCGAGATTATGACCTGAGCATAAGTAGGAGGCTTAACCAACTGAGCCACCCAGGTGCCCCTAAAACTCCTGTATTTTTAATACTTGCTGTTTCTTATTGATTCTTCTTCATAACTGTTTTTTTGGGGGGGAGGGTATTCAATTTCTAAGAATCTTATGTCTTTAAAGATGTTAGTATGCCTACAGTATTCTTGCTCAGTTTGTTCTTTTTTCTCTGGATGAGATTGCTCATTTGTTGTTTTTTATTCCTGCGCTGTTTCACCTCAGAGGTCATACAGTTTTGCTGCGTGGATCTCTCTTATTCTTTGCAACAGTCAGCTCCCTTGGCTAGTAACTTTAAAGAAAGAGGTAAAATCTCAGATCTGGCTTGTGCTTCTCTGGGATAATTTAAAAACTAGAGTGCAAAGCCTCTAATGTTGTACTCTGGCCTCTGTCAGTTACAGTTTCCACTGTGTCCTCAAACTCCTTCAAAAACAAAATAAAACAAAGCAAAACAAAACAACCACACACCACACACATACACACAACTCTTAACCCTACTTTCCCAAACAACCACTTGATGTTGCAGTTGGCCTTGCTCTCTTGTGTAGAGTGGAGGCAAAGTAGGGCTGGGTAGGACCACTCAGGGACCTGAACTGGTTTCTACTGCTTCACCATTCAACCTTGTCTTCATGTTTAGATGTCAGACCCTTACTAGTTGAATACATACTCTGATGCAGGCACTGTATTGGGTGCTGGGATATAAAATTTTTAAAGATACAACCATGTTCTCAAGGAGTTTTCCTTTTAGTGGTGTCAGTGGGAAGGTAAACAGGTATTCATAATAAAGTAAGGTAAATTATGTGGTGAGAACACATGAAACAGTTGATTAGTTCATTTGTGAGGAACGGAAAAGGTTTCCTTGCCAGTATGGATTGAGCCCTTAGGGATGTTTTGTTGTTGCTGTTGTTCTCTTTTGTTTCTGTTTTTAAGCTAGGTGAGGAAAGACTAGAGGAAGAGTATTTTGGGTAGAGGGAGAAAGTGGTTTAGTGGTAAGGGAAGCCAGGTTAATAATTTCTTATGGCTATTGCTGTCATCGTCTTTGTGATGTACCTCTGGCAAGATAACAGAGGGAATTAGTGAACTAGAGTGGAGTAGGATATTGTAGAGTTTAAAAAGGGAATGATATGATCAAGCTTACATTTTAGGAAGATCTTGCTGTATTATGGAGAATGAATTGACATGGGGCAAGGCAGGAGCCATTGGGACTCATCAAGAGGCTTTTGCAGTAGCTGGGAGAGAAAAGATGATGGCCTAAAATAAAGTAGAGACTGTGAGGATAGGAACAAGTAGCTAAATTGAAATGATAATTAAGGATGTTAGATGGTCAAGACTCTGTGGTTGATTATATTTGCTTACATTTGGTAGTGGAGGAAAGGGCATGTGTCAAGGATGATCCCTAGTTTTCATTCAGGTTTACTATTCAAAATATTTCCTAAATAAGAATCACTTGGAAATATAACAAGACAGTAGTCTAATTAAACTTTTTTTTTTTTTTTTTTTTTTGGAGAAAGTGAGAGAACAAACAGAGGAAGGGCAGAGAGAGGAGGAAAGAGAGAATCCCAAGCAGGCTCTGCAATGTTAGCATGGAGCTCAACATGGGGCTCGATCCCACGAATGCTGAGATCATGACCTGAGCCAAAATTAAGAGCTGGATGCATAACCAATTGAGCCACCCAGGTGCCCCAAGAATAGTTTCTTATCCTTGATCCCAAAATGCAAATAGCTCAAAATACTGGGAGATTTTCCTGAATTTGTGGCAAACTCAATTGATAGCAAAACCAACCATGAAATGAAGTCATTTGTAGTCTTTGTTTATCCCATTTTGTGTGGACAGTTGTGTTTCTTTCATAATTATTGATGTGTACAATAATGAAGTACTGCTTCAAATCTTGCTGCCAGTGTTATATGACATATAGTAAACTTTATACCTGATTACCTTTCTAAAATCCAAAATATTCTAATGAATCATGTCTGATTCCAGTGGTTTCAAATAGTAAATTATCGACTTGTACTTTGAATCTGAGCAGTTTTTGTCCTTTTTATATCAGTATTATTTTCTAATAAGAACCATTATGTGACAGTGTAGCCATGTGGACAAAATGATGTAGATGCATGTTATATAGTGCAAACTTTATGTTAGATTGCCAAGTGAGGGTACAAAACAGTGAGCCTAGTAGGCTTCTGTTTGGGTTAAAAAAATAACAACAGAGGAGGAGAAAGACACACACACACACACACACACACAGACACACACGCACACACACCTATAGAATATCATTAGAAAGGCACACAAAGAGCTAATATCTGATTGAGAACTGGGAGTCATTGGTGGGAGGAAGACTTAATTATATTGCGGTGCGTTCACACACGTATTGCACTGTCAGATGTTTCACTATATGCATTATTTTTTGTTAAAATTTTAAATTACAGTGACTGTATGAAAATATTCTTGTGAAAACTTAAATATTTACTTGGCCTCTAGCTCCAGTAAATGCATTAAATTTATAAAAATAAAGTTAAAAATAATTATTTATGTACCTATACAATTATATATCTATACAGTTTATTCTTGTCATTTGTCATTAGGACTGCATCCAAAGAATGAGTTTCAGAAATCCTTAAATTTTTTTAAAAATATTTTTATTTATTTCTAGGAGAGGGAGAGAGACAGCGTGGCAGGGAAGGGTCAGAGAGAGGGAGATAAAGACTCTGAAATAGGCTGAGCTGGCAGTCAGCACAGAGCCCGATGTCGGGCTCGAACCCACGAACCACGAGATCATGACCTAAGCAAAAGTCGGATGCTTAACTGACTAAGCCACCCAGGCGCCCCCGGAAATCCTTAAATTTTTAAGTGCTGAATATATAATATTGCTAAGATTGCCAGAAGCAGAAAGTAGAGAAGAGAATGGCTAAGGATGAGTCCTTATCAATAGATGTTGTAATTTATTCCCAGTATGCCAGACTGGGCAGTGAGAGCAAAAGTTGGAAGCCCTGAGAATAGTTTTCAGGCAGCAGATCTGAAGGGGTAAACGATAGGGAAATTTGGAAAGATTGTATAGCAAGACAAAAATAACTATATTTTTGGCAGAGAAAATTGGAGAGAGAAGTAAGGAGAAGAAAAGTAAAGTTGGGGCCCCTTTAGAGAAAGAAAGAGGTGTGAGGGAAAGATAAACATCATGAATGCAATACTGTTGTTGGGTGTTTCATAATTATTCTCTGCAATGTGGTAGAAGTATACTTTTGTATAGAAAATACAAGACTTGGTATTTTTGATAGAATTAAAATACTACTTGGTTTGAGTGAGGAAATTCTAAGTCCATTTGTCACTAATAAACTAGTATAAACCAGAATCAAGGAAAAAATCCAATTATTAGCCACACTTTGCCAAATATATATTTAAATTATCTTTGTTACTTAGTTCCATCAGGAGTCTTTTATAGTGAAAAGAAGTTAAATATTTAAAAAATATCATGATATATGATGTTTGTGGCTTATTTAAAGAGATTTTGTTTTTTAGTATTACTACAGGTACTGATTTGTAGTGTGCACTAAGTTAATAAAATCAGTGTCAGGGAAAAACTTAAGAAGTAGTTACTTAGCTATAGAGTCACAAACATATACTTTATGTGTATCTTTTTAATATAAAAATGCAGCCGTTGGTGGATGGATATTTGATAAACCAAAAAAAGTAACATGTCATTTGTAGAATCTAGGTGGTAGATAGGATCTGTATGAATGCTATGTCATAAATGTTGAAGAAAACAAATTCTAATGAAAGAGCTAATGTGAAATAAATAGATGTTTTGTGAATAGTAAAATAATAGTATATTTGAGAGTTCGTTTTGTTCTCTGCTGACTGAATAATCTGAAACATTCTGTTAGTGGAATACCAGTTTTAGTGGTAATATTATTAGATGTAAATAAATTATCTGTTTCCTTTTGATGGAAATTGTTTTGTTTTTCAAACCAGTGTTATTGTGAACATTAATGAAGATATATGGAAAAAATCATAAGGATTTATAAAACATATTTGAGGTAAATGTAAATTATAGCAGACAAGTGTTTAGCAACTATTTAGAACTTTTATTCTTCTATTTTAGGGAATCTGGAAACATCAAAGCTGGATTAGAACATCTGGTAAGTTCTAATTTTCTCTTGAACATTTGCATCATCTTTGATATCTGCATTCTAAATGAACACTTTTGAATGAGCTTTGAATACCTTGTATTGAGAAAGTCAACCATTTCCCAAAGGGTCAGCTTACTGTTATTATGTGAAGGCACTTACATTTTCATTTATCTTATCATTTCAAGGGAATTTAAAATTTTTTTAAATTACTTTTTTTTTGATGTAGAGATGAAATAAAATGGATGACAATCCTTGGATTGATGATTGCTTTAATTATAAACAAAAATGTTTGGTGTCGAATTTTTGGCATATCTTGATCTGACAAAAACAAGCTTGTGTTTTAAGAAAAACACAATCAAGTATTGCATGCATAAATATGGTATGTTTTAGCAATTTAACGGCTTTGAAAGAAGGGCACAGCTTTGTTTTTCCTGATGTCTTTGCTTTATGAATAATGCATCAGTTTAAACTACATTCCGTTTTAGAATATAAAATAATTGAGATGCAACATTTTTTGTTTAAGTAAACATTTTTAAAGTACAAATGAAATTCAGACTGACTTAACATTAGTATCTGTCCATTGATCAAAAAATTAGAGAAACTGTCGTGTTATACCAGGTCCAAAATTCATTTAGCTCACTGCATTGAGTGTTCATTACAACATTAAGTAGTTCATTTAAACAGAGCATTATAAAGTCATGCTCTGGTTTCTGGTCAAATCCAAATGTTGAATAATTAATGATAGAGATTCTTTTGTAAATACAATCTAAGTACTTTTTTAATGCAAGACTTCATTCGTATATAATATTGTAGCTTTGTTAACTATTAATGTGCTTTTGTTTGCTCCCACGAAAGCAAACAGTTAGCAGGAGCCTGCTTCATTTTGACTTATAGTAGTTTTAGAATTAGAAAGGGTTTTTGGTTTTCCTTTCAACAGCTAAAGGAAACTGAGGAAAGCAAGGCTTTTTAAAAATGATCTTAAAAAAATGATCTTAAAAAGTATAGGTTAATTATTAGAAGGCAATATATAACAACCTAGTTTAGAATATTTGAACTATATATTTGTCCAGATTAGAAGTAAATAAATAACATTGTTATTATTAGTAATTATTTCCTGAATCCCAGTTTGTCACTTCATAGTGGCATATATATTTAGGACATATGGACATTAGAATAAAAATGTTAATCTAAAACATCAAATTCCAGTATCAGTTGGGGGCTTACAACAAGGAAGAACAGCTACCATTATGCCAAAATGAGCTGTCTTTTATACTCATAAATTATTATTTATTGAAAAGACTTCATATTTCTTGTTTCATATGCCTTAGTAAATAATAATTAATTTTTTAGTTTACATTTTATATTCACTAGTATGAACTAATCCTCAGTGATTATTTCATGCATTTATACTTTACTTACAATCTTATTCAGCACTGGTTTTCTAACAGCCTTGAGGTGCCAGGCAACCTCCCCAAAGCAGGTGGCAATCCAGACTGCCGCTGCCCACTTTAATCAGAGTGGTTCCACTTTTAGCTATTTTGTAAATTTAAAAAATTTTAAAATAAGATTTTATTTGAAGAAAGAGTTTTCCAACTAAAAACATTTAAAACCTTTGATCAAACATAGCTACTTCTTAAAGTCAGGAGTAATTATTAATTATTCTTGACCCTAAATTATATTTCATTTTCAGCTGGGTCATACATATCAAATATATTTCAAAGATAATGCATTTTAGGATGAGGGAGGCAGGATTAATACAACAGGTGGTGGGAAGTAGATGATTTTAATGCATTTCATTTAGGTTGTTAAAAAGACTCTGCAGCTTGACATTGCAACCTACTGCCTGTAAACTATTAACAATAATATGAATATGTTAATATGTAACATAATATCCTATATACACACACCTAATACATATCATACTGCCTTGTGCACTACTGTCCAGTAAAGTTAGTGATCTTCTTCACAACTGCCTAGAAGGGAAATGAACTCAAGAATTATTATTTGAGGGGTGCCTGGGTGGCTCAGTCGGTTAAGTGTCTGACTTGGACTCAGGTCATGATCTCATGGTTCGTGAGTTCGAGCCCCGTATTGGGCTCTGTGCTGACAACTTGGTGCCTAGAGCCTGCTTCGGATTCTGTGTCTCCCTCACTCTCTGCCCATCCCCCACTCATGCTCTGTCTCTCTTAAAAATAGATAACGTTAAAAAATTAATAAAAAGAATTTATTATTGAGCGTTAATGAAACCTGTCTGTGTAGCAGCTGTGGGTTCTGTAGGTTTGTGTCTCTTCAGTTTCCAGCTGAACAGATACTTACAGCCCTTGCCTTCTAGCACATGTAACCCTTTGAATTGGCTGTGTAGCTAAATACAATTAGAAGTATAGCTTCTAATAGATTATGATCCTCAAAAATATATGGTATAAAATTAAGAACATCCCACATATGTGGAATTAATTTCTTCTTTATATAGCCTTCATTCTTTGTTTTTTAAAATATATTTGGATTATCATAGAGAATTCAAACGGTTCTAAGAAAGGATAGAAGCAAGTATAAATTTAAGTAAGCTAAAAAAGGGGCTCCTGGCTGGCTCAATCAGTGGAGAATGCAACTCTTGATCTTGGGGTTGTACATTTGAGCCCCACTTTGGGTGTAGACATGACATAAAAATAAGATCTTTTAAAAATAAAAAAATAAAAATACAAAAATGATGCATGTTATACTTGCCATAAGGGCACATACACAGTTGTAGTATCATTGTGTTCTATGCTTATGAGCTCTTCTTGTAACCCTAGAAAGGAAAAGGCAGGAGTGGGGAGATAAGGGCATGAGATAGGTGGACTGTGTTCCCCTGGAACCTCTTTAAGGGTTGATCTCATTGATTTGTCACAATCTCTCAATTCAACCTTTGTTCTGTCATTTCTTTTTTTCTGTGTTGCTACCTTTTCCTGGGAACTGTCCAGCATGCCATTCTTAGCTTAAATATTTTACTATATTGCCCAGTACTATTTTATTTTTCTTTTTCACAAACTTGTCTACTACTCATAAAGCCTGTGTGTGTTGAAAGTTCTAGACAGGGTCTCTGAAGGTCAGTGCCTCATCCAATGGTGATTGTTGCCTGATGATTGTAAAAGGGAGATTTTCCAACTCTACCACTGCCTCCCATATTTAGCAGACAGCATTCAACTTCAAGGAATAACCCATCTTTATTTCTTGTTTTAGCTACTTATTTTGAACAAGGACTCATGGATTTTTATTTCATTAAATAGGTTATCATTCAGTGTTTTTTAAATTTATTTTGATGCTCATTGTCCCAGATTAGTCCAGGGAGTATCTTTTCAAGATGGCTTTTGGATCATTTCTACATACCCCACCTTTTTTAAAAAAAAAAACGCTTCCTTATTTTCTGGCACAAGATGTTCCAGGCTCACTTGAAACCTTTCCTGTCCTCCCTAATTAAGGCATGTGTCATTATATTTACTATGTTTCTCACTTTGTGTCTTCTTTTTTTAAAAGTATGAGATTTTAGTTTACTTCTATGCTTGCCACACTTTATTAGATGCTAGCAGAGAACATAAGATTTCTGGGTCAGAGACAAAGCTCTTGTATTACTAACAGCACCAAAGGTAGCACATACTACATGGTTATGTAGGTTCCCATTGACATGCAAGTACCATGGGGTGATGGTGCATACCCAGTGGGTTTGTGTCACAGATGAGGGAATATTCTTTAAGGAGCTGACAGAATATAGGCCCAAACTTTGCCCAAGAGAAAAATATTACCTTTAGTATCCTAATTTGGTAGCAGAACTGCCTCCTGATCTAGGGAGATTCTGTATCTTCCAAGACTGTTTACTATACAAAACATCTTTGAAAAGATAATTCTGAAGAAAGGCTGTTGGCCAATATAAGATGTGCAGAACGTAAGGAGAATTATTTCTGAAGAGCTATTATTATTATTATTGTTATGAAGTTAAGAAGGTTTGTGGTCTTTTTCTAGGGGTTAGCTTTGTATTTATATCTTTTATATGCTTTTGCTATCCCTTATTTCTACTTAAACTTTTAAATGGCATCCCTTACTTCCCACCTCTTATCTTTTTTATAGCCAGTGCTCCTGTTGTACTTTGCTTTCCTCATTTTCCTCCCATTTCTTCTTGTATTCTTCCTACTCTGTTGGAATATATGATGTTTATACACTGTCTATTCATGCTGTCACCTTTTTTTTTAAGAATCATCTCTAAAATTAACTGCATTACATATTTACTGTTAGCTTATTTGCTGTTATTTCCCTCTTTGTCTCCTGTTTGTGTAAAACTCATCCAGTAGTATATTCCTCAGGACAGCCTCCTGAGTACAGCATTCCCTGAGATCTTGCACCTTCTAAGCTGTTTCTCTATGGTTTGCTACTTGAATGACAGTTTGGTTGGACATAATATCCTTGGCTTACAGTTTTTTCCCTTGACTTCCTGGAAAATGTTACCCTGCTCTTGATTTTTGTGGCACTAGCCTTATTTTCTTACCCTTGTGTATAATTTTCTTTCTTTCTTTCTTTCTTTCTTTCTTTCTTTCTTTCTTTCTTTCTTTCTTTCTTTCTTTCTTTCTTTCTCTCTCTCNCTCCCTCCCTCCCTCTCTCCCTCCCTCCCTCTCTCTCTCTCTCTCTCTCTCTCTCTGTCTCTCTCTCTCTCACCATTTTTTTCATTGCCCTTGTTTTACTAGGATGATTCTCAAAGTTTATTATTTCTGGCTAATTTTGAAGTGTTTTTTTTTTCATATGTAGACTTAAGTTTTCTCATTAAGAAGAAATAATTTTCTTGGATTATAGTATTAAGTATTAACTGTTACATTGTTTTGTTTTCTTCTTCAGGGATTCCAGTTTTGCATGTATTCTGTATTTATATATAGAATCTTTCTTTGCTCATCTTCTATTTCAGTCTCTGTCTTTGACTCTTTGTACTACTTTAGTTTGTTTTCAAACAACTAAGAACTAGTTTGTCTGGTTTCATTTAGTATTTT